ATCTCAAATTCCTTCCCACTGCTGCCACTCCCCTTTGCTGCTTCCTCCTGCTCCCTGCATACTCTTGACTCTTTTGTTTCTCCTTTTAGAAACACCTTGTAAGTGCCAGACAGGAATTTCCTGACACTATGTCCTGCAAAAAGCAAGCGATAATGGCAGAAACAATAGAGAATTATGTCAGAAGAGTGCCCTAACAATACAACAGAATTTAAATAAGCAGGCAGCTTTGGTCTTTGGAATTTGTCCACTAGAAATATCCCTTCTTCCTCTATTCGCATGTCTACTTTAAGTCATGTGCACTGTACTTTTAAATGAATAACAATAAAGGAGGATCATATGTCTACTTACATGTATAGTAAACATTCCCCAGAGCCATGCACACCACATTTCTCACTGCATTTTACTACTTTCCTGCTTCTGGCAGTACATAATCTAGAAGTTTTAAATCCAGGGATGAGTGAAATAAAAACTAAATGAAAAAATAACAAAAATTTCACTGAGATCCCTGCATAGACCCTTTTCCCTCCTGAAATATTACACCTACTCCAAATACAGTGCAGGAAAACACAACTTTTAATTTATAATATTGTAGGCTATGTCCAAAAAAGGGCTTAGGAACCGTCCTGCTTATTCCTTCATAAAAACATAAATGGTTTGATGATCTCTAATTTCCTTTCATATCACCAGCTGAACGTGGCAGTCTGCCACGCTGCTGGACATAACCTACTGGGAGATAGAATTGCCTAGAGCGAAGGCTTCCAAGCTGTAGTCCATAGAGTACTAGTTGATGGTCCACAGAGCATCTACTGCTGGTCTGTGAAGAGCTGAGTGCTCTCGTGGTGCTCGCTTTTCCCTCTCATTTCCAGCTGCTAAATTCCATTAAAAGTTACTACTTTCATAATAGTAACTTTTCCACATAAGCAAATGGAAGGGGAGGTGTATGCCAAGCAAGCTCTTCATTAAGATGTGCTCCACGGTACGAACAAAATTGAGGACCCCTGTTTATAGCGAATAGAACCTGGAACTGGGTTTTCGTTATGATTCTGACAGTGACCCCCTTTGTGACTGTGAGCAAGTCACTGTCGTTACTCTATGCCTCAGTTTCCCCATCTGTAAAATGGGTATTACCAACCAAATTAAGTTGCTGCAAGGCTTAACGAATGTTTGCAAAGCATATTGGGAACCTTCAATAAAAGATCCCACAAGGGTGCTGGAGGTTATTACTGTTATTACTGAAATAGACATTTGGATAGGAAAAAATACAACTTCTCTTCTAGCTTTGTCCTTGTTTTTTTACCCTCCCTCTCACCGATTTAGGAGGTAACGATCCAAAACACTTCTTTTTTGCTTCACATGCCACAAATTCATTGTTACATGCTGTGATCAGGTTGCCCTGTCCCAGACAGGATTACACCAATTCTTACAGCACGCTTCCAAACACTAAAGCACTAGTATCTTTCTGGCTGTCCAAAAAAAGAGCAATCATTTTTGGCTGCTTTTTCTTCCTGTAGTCTAGAATGTAAATATCACTTCGGCAAAAGCATCATTTAATAAATTTATTAGCCTTGAAACAGGACAGTCAGTGCCATACGACTCTGAATTCTGACTTGCTTAAGTTTGGAGGGCCCTTTTTGGACCCAATCGTTCAGGCACATCTCATGACTAGGAAAAATAAAATCTCTCTTACATGCATTAATTTGTCAGAGAAAATCAGTTCTCTAGAAATTGTCTCTTGTGCCAACAGCTTACAGCATATATGTAAAAGGAGCCACGGACTAAGCAAACTACAGGCTGTAGATTATAGAACGAAAAACAATCCAAAAAGTTCTATATTAAAATACGCAAAAAAAGAAACTTGGTGTCTTCCCAAAGAGAGAGATCTCTACCACCATAGTTTTCTATATCTCAGATGCAGTTTTCTAAAGCACACACCACTTGTGGAGAACAATATAAGAAGACACTGTTTTCCTGATAATGGTGCTTCTTGATTTTGCCTTGCATGGGATTTGCCATGCAATCTGCCCTTGCAACCACGCAGGGCCAGCTGAGTTTTGTGTGTCCCCATGGGCACTCACTTAGTTTCTACCCCAGTGTGTTCAAGAGAGGGTAGGTCCAAATGACCCAACTTAACCACACAGGGGAATGGAAAACGTCCTCCACCATGCCTTTGAAAGGCCATTTGAACATGGAGTAGGTGATCTTAGGCTGCACGTGTGTGTGTCAACTGAGGGTGTGTGGGGATACCACATGATGAACTAACAGCTGATCTTAACTACCCCAATAAATATTTGTAATTTTACTCTGGGGCCTGGCACGAGATAACTTGAAGGCCTTAAATGTTTTACAGCCACTGGGGCAAGCACTCCTACTCCAGGCTGTGTCACTGATGTACCAGATTCTCCTGGTTCAGGGCCATAAATCCCCAGGACCTGAAGGAGAGGAGGCAGAAATTCTGGGCATGTCCTAGGCCCATGACACATACAGGACCAAACGCACAGGTGTTCCTTGAAGCATAGTTCTTTTGTGTCCTACGTTGGACATCCTGAGTAACAGCTATTATAGACCCTGAAGAGGAAGTGCACACGTGTAAACACAAAAGAGGACTATGTGCCCAAAAAGTGGGTGGGGGAAAGCGTGTTAGGGCACATTTCACTTTTCACCTGCAAAGTGCATTGGGAACATTAAGCAACTAATTGCCACAACTCTCTGTGAGGCAGGAAAGTCATCATCCCTATATTGTAGACAGGGAGACAGAGACACAGAGATGTTAAGTGATTTGGCTAATGCTACAGGGAGTCAGCTCCAAAAATGGGGTTAGAATGCAGAATTCCTGGCTCCCACTAGTGAGGTTGCACCACTGAATTATTCCTCTGCTTTTAGGCCTTGATCCAAAGCCCACAGCAATCCGTTGGAGCCTTTCCACTGACTCCACTGAATTTTGGATCAGGCCCGTAATCACTTTAGCATGGGTCAGAATTAAAACCAGCCTCCCAAGATATGCCAAGGTATTTTCTGGGAGCTATTTTCCATCATATTTAATAATGCAACCAACAGAGATTATTTTTGCCAGTGTGGCGCAATTCTGTCAGAGATCTTTTCAGCGTGAGAAGAGGTGTGTGTTGATTGTTGGAATCAAGACAAAAAAAGTGAGAAATGTAACATGGTTACCAGTAGTTGCCTTGGCTGGAGTTTAGGAGGTTGAAGAGTTATGGAAATCAGACACACTGTGTTGACACACCACTTTTGGACACAAAGCCATGCTTTGTGCGTTTACAGCGAGATCTTTTCCAAGACCCTATTCAGCAAAGTAACTGTAGCCATAGTTTGCTACAGCTCTACAGACAGAAGAAAATGGTGCCACACACAACAGGCAACCACTCTCTGTGACCGTCATAGCCACTGATCCTACTGGAAAAAAAGCCTTATCTATCTGTCCCTAGTTATTTCTCATCTTTATTGCCTTAGGCCTCATCTACACTGGGGCGGGTGGGGGAGGGGGAAATCGATCTAAGTTACGCAACTTCAGCTATGTGAATAATGTAGCCGAAGTCGATGTATTTAGATATACTTACTGTGGTAAGTCGACGGCTGACACGGTCCCGTCGACTCTGCCTGTGCCTCTCGCCCTGGTGGAGTAACCGAGTCGACGAGAGAGCTCTTGGCGGTCGATTTATCGCGTCTAGACTAGATGAGATAAATTGACCCCCGCTGGCTTGATCGTTGCCCGTCAATCCAGCGGGTAATGTAGACAAGCCCTTAGACTTCTCCGGTAGGGCCTTTTGCCTCTTTAGTCTGTCCAAAATGCTGCTGAACAGAACACAGGCTACCTAACTCCTTGCTCACTGCTCTAACCACAAGGCCATGCTGACTCCTTATACATGACTTTATATACTGGCAAGTATCCAGTTCTTTTTTTTTTTTTTAAACGTATACACTATTTCTTGGTGCACCATACAGCCATCACACCTTGCTCTCAAGTGCCTAACACACACCAGGCACTGGCATACACACACTGAGAAGGAAAGAAAACAATCAGAATTTATCCTAACCATGCATACTTAGGAAAGAAGTATGTATGTATTCCCTCCACTCCCTGCTACCCACTGAGTGTAAGTCAGTTGTGTTGAACAATGTGTCTGAAATGATTAAGCACTCAATTTGGATGACCTGCATAACTCACCCATGTGGCCAATAAAACCTTTACGTGACACTTTACCATTCTTCCCTGAAACTAATCTTTTAATTCTTGGGTATGGATGGCCAGGTTAGAAAAGTTATTTATCCATAAGAGAAATAGCTTGCTGAGAACAAGAGGAATTCCATGAGCCAGCACTTTTCCTCCACAAATGAGAAAATAAAGAAGGGTTTCTTCATAGCATAATGTAGCTGAAAACAAATGGGCATAGCTAATTTTGGCCTGACAAGTGCACTTAGGATTCTCTACATTTCCCATGCAGGTCGGGCTTATCAGCTCACACTTGTTAGTGCAAAAATCTCCTTTCCTATCTCTGTTTCTGCCACTTCCCTTATCCTATCACTCTCCTGGAGTAAGTATGCTTGCTGGGCACTTCACTAGCCATTTAGCAAACACACTCATTCTGTTTTAGACAGAAAATCACATGTACACACAAATGACAGTAGACTTCACTGTAGTGCTTATCACAGAAAAAGGACAAGCTATCCTACTGTACACACTGTACTGCATGCTGCATCCCACGAAGATCTCTTTTCATCAGCCTCCCTTCTGGGAGCAATAGGCAGCATTTAAATTGCATACTTTAAAAAAAATGTTTTGTTCATACAAAGAGCAGAGGAAAAAAATTACTCATAATGATTTGTTTCTGCAAAGGGTAGTGTTTGTAATTAAGAACATAAGAATGTCAATAATGGGTCAGACTAGGGTTGCCAGGTGTCCGGTTTTGGACCGGAATCCCTGTTTGAAAAGGGACCCTGGCAGCTCCGGTCAGCACTGCTGATCAGGCTGCTGAAAGTCCGGTCAGAATTGCAGCGGGGCTAAGGCAGATTCCCTGTCTGCCCTGGCTCCGCACGGCTCCCAGAAATGGCCAGGATGTCTGGCTCCTAGGCGCAAGGTGGCCGCAGGGGATCCTCATGCTGCCCCCACTCTGAGTGCCAGTTCTGGAGCGGCCAATGAGAGCTGCGGGGGAGGTGCCTGCAGGCACAGGCAGAGGCCTCTGGCTCCTCTGCCTAGGAGTCGGATATGCTGGCCACTTCCGAGCGCTGCAGGGAGCCTGCCTTAGCTTTGCTGCACCTTGGACCAGGAACCACCTGAGGTAAGCACCACCCGGCCAGAGCCCACACCCCGAAACTCCTCATGCGCCCTAGCCCCGCTCCTGCCCCAGCCTTCTGCACCCTAACTCCATCCTGGAGCCCTCATCCCAACCCTGTGCTCCAGCCCTCAACCCCACCCACACCCCAACCCCCTGCCCCAGCCTGGTCAAAGTGAGTGAGGGTGGGGGAAGAGCACGCGATGGAGTGAGGGGGGCATGGAGTGAGCAGGGGGCAGGGCCTCAGAGAAGGGGCGGAACCTCAGGGCAGGGGTGGGACAAGGGTGTTAGATTAGAAAGTTGGCAACCCTAGGTCAGACCACTGGTCTAGCTCAATATCATGTCTTCTGACAGTGGCTGGTGCCAGATGCTTCACAGGGCAATTATTGAGTGATCCATCCCCTGTCATGCAGTCCCAGCTTCTGGCAGCCAGAGGTTTAGGTATACCCAGGGCTTGTATCTCTGACCATCCTGGCTAATAGCCCTTGATGGACCTATCCTCCATGAACTTACCTAATTCTTTTCTGAACCAAGTTATACTTTCAGCTTTCACAACATCCTCTGACAGATCTCCCACGTTGACTGTGCATTGTATGAAGAAGTACTTCCTTATGTTTGTTTTAAAACTGTTGCCTATTAATTTCACTGGGTGACCCCTGGTTGTTGTGTTATGTGAAGGGGAAAATAATACTTTCCTATTCACTTTCTCTACACCACTCATGATTTTATAGACCTCTGTCATGTCCCCTCTCAGTCATCTCATTTCTAAGTTGAACAGTCCCAGTCTTTTTAATCTCTTCTCATATGGAAGTTGTTCCATATCCCTAATCAGTTTTGTTGCCATTCTCTGTACCTTTGCCAATTCTAATATATCTATTTTGAGATGAGGCGACCAGAACTGCAATCCGTATTCAAGGTGTGGGTGTACAATGGAGGCATTATGATATTTTCTGTCTCATTATCTATCGGTTTCCCAATGGTTCCGAACAGTGTTCACTTTTTTGACTGCTGCTGCACATTGAGTGCATGTTTTCAGAGAATGATCCATGGTGACCTCAAGATCTCTCTTTCTTGAGTCATAACAGGTAATTTTCACCCCATCATTTCGTACGTAGAGTTGGGATTACATTTTCCAATGTGCATTACTTTGCATTTATCAACATTGAATTTAATTTTGTTGCCCGGTCACCCAGTTTTGTTGAGATCCCAACATAACTCCGCAGTCGGCAAGAAATCTACCTCATCATTTTGGGGCCCATATAGCCTAGAATCGAACGGGATGGAACGTTCAGAGTTCTGGCTCATTAAGCTGCCTCACCAGTGGATGGAGTGCACTCACTTGTTCATCAAACACTTTCCTTTCCAAAGCAAGTGAAGGGAAATAATGGAAACAAATCCTGATTACTGCCTTTGCCAGGAAAGAGGATGCTCTGACACCCTCATCGTTGGGGCATTTCTGGGGAATTTGACTTACAGGAGGGACTGGATTGAGTTTTACAATGCCTGTGCATGGACTTTTTTGTTCACACTAGATCAGGCAGAACGTGGTCAAGGGACTATTATGGCGATGGGCTATATTTGGCCCTGACCCAGCCACTGAAATACCTGCTGGAAGTGTCACACACATAGGGAGGTGATATAAAGGGTAAGAAGCTGCAGGAGAGGCTGCCCTGTTAGGACGAAGACATTTCTTCAGACTTCAGCCAGCCTGTGAGGCAAGGGGAAACCAAGTCTTGTTTCACAGATGGTTGGACCACTTGGGGGGTTGGAAAGACTGTCCAAATCTCCCTGAGGAAGGGGGAAACATTGGATTAAACCACGTTACAGATTTTGTTTCTCTAAGTCATTCTACAGTGTTTCTCCACTGAACCAGTGGGAAGGGCTGATCATAGCTCCCTAATGAAAGAGAAGGCCTAGAGATGGCCTAGGTCACTTTCTCGAACTGACTTCTGCCCAGAACCGATCCAGAGCAATGAGCCTTGGTTTAGTTTTTGGATGAAGGAATATTTCTCTCTTTCCACCCTTTCCCCATCCTCAACCTTGAGGTATATTAATTTTCTTAGCTCCTGCTGCAGCCCATTTGGCCTCTATTATTATTATTTACTTGCCTTTTTCAGATTTTATTTTGGGTGAGCTTATATCACCTCATTGTACAGTGCTGCTGGCATTTAAAACACTTTTCTGTGATCCTCCCCTCACAAATTTGTTACCAACAAGCATTTCATCTCAACAGGGAACATAAATACCCAAACTAAGGTGAGAGAAAAGCTCTTGCTCATTTTGCATGTATAGCAAAGGACCACGCTGATTGAGATGAATGTAAAACCTCTCTCTCTTTCTCCAGGTCTAAGGGAATGCCAATGATTACATTCTGCAGTAGACTTTGAAACTTGATAAAGGAAAGGTATGTAGCAGGCACAAATCATGATACCTGGGGCCATCACAAGTTGTTTATGTATCTACACAAATACTCTATGAATACTTTATGTGGAGTAGTTCTAATTTATTTCATACACTCAACTTCAGGGGAAAAGTACAATCAGTTGAATAGGGAATGACAAGGTTTGCACCACTATAATAATTAGGCTTTGTGTCTATAGAACGAGGGGAAAAATGTTAGCTTTTTTCTTAAGCCTATTAAATGTGTGAAATTTATCTAAAAGTTAGGATTCAGGTTCAGAATATTTTACACTTCTTGATCCCCTAGCGAATCAGACAATTTGAACAGATGACTACTGTTGGAACTCCAACCCCACAGAAGGCTATTTGGCGTTTATTTAAAGTACGTCACATTTAAAGCAGGGCTTGTTTCAGATGAATAGGCAAATCATTTAGAAGTGTGCATTTGCAAGGTCAGAAGTCACAGCAACTGTGCACACTGCTTGTCAACTTATTCGGAGAAAATTGTGTAATCAACTTAAAATAGCAGTTACCCTTTATCTTGAAGGTCAGACTCACAGTTCCTGTATGTCACCACACTTGGCTATTAATCACTCAGGAGGAAATTTAACATTTTTCTTTACACTAAATAGTGCAAAAAGTGGGGCTAAGGCTGAATTCAGATGTCCTCACTCACCTCCCTTGAAGGCATATGGGATGGTTTGATTCTAAGTAGTCTCTCTGACATTTAATTCTTACCCCCATTCTCCCAAAAATCCTCACTGACTTTGAGAGAAGGTTGCTAGATGGCATCACCCCCCAACACCAGCTGTAAATGCAAGGAAATAAGCAGCTAGGGTCATTCAACAACCTGTCTTCACTCCACTCATTTACATCTTGCAATTGGTTGGATGCAGCACAAAACGTCTGCCACTCGTGCTCAGCCCTTTTGCTTCATCTGTATCAGGGTCTCTGTGAACCGTGGCAACTTGTGACCATGAAGCTAGTGAAGAGGGGGATTAAGGATTGTATTGAGGACAGAGGACAAAGAGTCCAATCAAAGCATGAGACAATGATAATGTAGGAGAGAGAGAGAGAACAAACTTATCCTGGAAAAACAGATTCCATCAAACTGAAATCAGCCTGTTAAAACAGGCCCTTCTGTTCAATGCTCTAGCTTGTTAAATGGAAACTAATTAAATTCTGGAAAAAATAAAAATATACCTTCCTCCTGCCACTAACCCATAACAGCTTTAATATTTAGCACAACATGTGTCAGTCAATTGATAACAGTTCATTCTATCCCAATATATTGCTTGCACTGAATAGTGCCTTATTCTGCATGGACTCCCATTGAAGTCAACAAGGCTACTACTTTTGGAGTAAGGCAATAACCAGCATGAGAAGTGGTATCAGAATCTGGCCCTTAGGGAGACATTGCTTAAGTTGCATCCATTTACTCTCTAAAAGTGCATCCTGCGGGGATAAAAGTTTTGTTTGCTTGGAATTAATTATGGAAAGTCTTCGTCTCTAGTGTGACCAGCTACTCTCCATTTGCTGCCTCCATGCTTTTCACTTTCCCACTTTTTAAAGGGTTTGGAAATGGCAACAAAAGAGAGAATCCTCCTTTGTGGTTATTCCCATAGTTAGCAACACGCACATCTGGATAGAGTTTCAATAGTCCACTGTTATTCAAACAATCTGCAATCACACAGACTGTGTAGTCAACTAGCAGCTCAGAGCGTATAGCTTTTCATTATTATGTAGCATACAGTACACACCATGTACAAATAAACTCAAAACCTGCAGCAGCAACAATGAAACCTTCTATTCAGCTTTATTCACTAAACAGCCCTGTAAGAAGCCTTTATCGAAAGATGCAACACTTCTACTACTTATTTTGATCGTAGATGGGAAGGAGATTTCAGACAATGGAGCTGCATCTGTTCAACATTCTTTAAAGCCACGTAGTGCAGTATTTATAGTATTTAAAAATAAAGGCTATAAAAACCCAGAGCTGAGTCTTTAGTTATGCGGGTGAACAGTGCCACATAACTTGTAACAGTAGCTGATTTTACAAGATATGTAACAATATGTACCAGCATAGCCCAAAGGCAGGATCAAGCCCTTAAACTTTTATATGGTGATTTGTGCTTAAAGATCTATTTCAGTCTGGATTCAATAACTCTCATTCTCCATTCCCCTGATGTTTTAACCCCCAATTCCCTGCTATCCCATGACCCATGTTAACTTTTTATTATAATACTCTGGATGCAGAATCATTTTTTTTAGCTTAATAATTATGGACTTGATCCTTTAACCTTTACTCAGAAGAGTCGCTTCAACAGTATATGAATGGAGCTACTCCCCTAAGAGTTGCTTGTTTGGACTGTCTTGAAACAGGAATTGTAGAATTGGAAGGCTGTCTTACTTTTACTGTTGTTTCTGTAAAGTATCCTTTATTGAAGTGTGTCTGTTTATGTGACACACTGTGGGTAACTTCCCTGCACAGGGCTAAACTTTGGCTCTCACATTGGGCAGCATTTACTCACACAAGTAGCCTCACTGGTGAGAGTAAAGGCACCACAACTATCCCATAGACTTTAGTTAGCACTCATGAAACTTCCCAGGGTGTATGGGCACCAACATGCAAAAGGGGTCAGGCAAAGTATGTGCCAGTTCTTTCCTTTTTCAAACAGCAACTAATGCATTCTTAAAGGAACATTAGAATGTGTCCATCTAAATTACATTATAACAGCCCATGGGCCACTTGAACTTCCATAGATCACCCTGAAGTAATTAGTGACCTTTGCAATGCCACAGTCAAACTGTTTTTCCAGGTTTCAGAGTAACAGCCATGTTAGTCTGTATTCGCAAAAAGAAAAGGAGTACTTGTGGCACCTTAGAGACTAACCAATTTATTTGAGCATGAGCTTTCGTGAGCTACAGCTCACTTCATCGGATGCATACCGTGGAAACTGCAGCAGACTTTATATACACACAGGGAATATGAAACAATACCTCCTCCCACCCCACTGTCCTGCTGGTAATAGCTTATCTAAAGTGATCATCAAGTTGGGCCATTCCAGCACAAATCCAGGTTTTCTCACCCTCCACCCCCCCCCAACAAATTCACTCTCCTGCTGGTGATAGCCCATCCAAAGTGACAACTCTCCCCACAATGTGCATGATAATCAAGGTGGGCCATTTCCAGCACAAATCCAGGTTTTCTCACCCCCCCACCCCCATACACACACAAACTCACTCTCCTGCTGGTAATAGCACATCCAAACTGACCACTCTCCAAGTTTAAATCCAAGTTAAACCAGAACATCTGGGGGGGGGGGTGTTAGGAAAAAAACAAGGGGAAATAGGCTACCTTGCATAATGACTTAGCCACTCCCAGTCTCTATTTAAGCCTAAATTAATAGTATCCAATTTGCAAATGAATTCCAATTCAGCAGTTTCTTGCTGGAGTCTGGATTTGAAGTTTTTTTGTTTTAAGATAGCGACCTTCATGTCTGTGATTGTGTGACCAGAGAGATCGAAGTGTTCTCCGACTGGTTTATGAATGTTATAATTCTTGACATCTGATTTGTGTCCATTTATTCTTTTACGTAGAGACTGTCCAGTTTGACCAATGTAAATGGTAGAGGGGCATTGCTGGCACATGATGACATATATCACATTGGTGGATGTGCAGGTGAACGAGCCTCTGATAGTGTGGCTGATGTTATTAGGCCCTGTGATGGTGTTCCCTGAATAGATATGTGGGCACAGTTGGCAACGGGCTTTGTTGCAAGGATAAGTTCCTGGGTTAGTGGTTCTGTTGTGTGGTATGTGGTTGTTGGTGAGTATTTGCTTCAGGTTGCGGGGCTGTCTGTAGGCAAGGACTGGCCAGTCTCCCAAGATTTGTGAGAGTGTTGGGTCATCCTTTAGGATAGGTTGTAGATCCTTAATAATGCGTTGGAGGGGTTTTAGTTGGGGGCTGAAGGTGACGGCTAGTGGCGTTCTGTTATTTTCTTTGTTAGGCCTGTCCTGTAGTAGGTAACTTCTGGGAACTCTTCTGGCTCTATCAATCTGTTTCTTTACTTCTGCAGGTGGGTATTGTAGTTGTAAGAAAGCTTGACAGAGATCTTGTAGGTGTTTGTCTCTGTCTGAGGGGTTGGAGCAAATGCGGTTGTATCGCAGAGCTTGGCTGTAGACGATGGATCGTGTGGTGTGGTCAGGGTGAAAGCTGGAGGCATGCAGGTAGGAATAGCGGTCAGTAGGTTTCCGGTATAGGGTGGTGTTTATGTGACCATTGTTTATTAGCACTGTAGTGTCCAGGAAGTGGATCTCTTGTGTGGACTGGACCAGGCTGAGGTTGATGGTGGGATGGAAATTGTTGAAATCATGGTGGAATTCCTCAAGGGCTTCTTTTCCATGGGTCCAGTTGATGAAGATGTCATCAATATAGCGCAAGTAGAGTAGGGGCTTTAGGGGATGAGAGCTGAGGAAGCGTTGTTCTAAATCAGCCATAAAAATGTTGGCATACTGTGGGGCCATGCGGGTACCCATAGCAGTGCCGCTGATCTGAAGGTATACATTGTCCCCAAATGTAAAATAGTTATGGGTAAGGACAAAGTCACAAAGTTCAGCCACCAGGTTAGCCGTGACATTTTTGGGGATAGTGTTCTTGACGGCTTGTAGTCCATCTTTGTGTGGAATGTTGGTGTAGAGGGCTTCTACATCCATAGTGGCCAGGATGGTGTTATCAGGAAGATCACCGATGGATTGAAGTTTCCTCAGGAAGTCAGTGGTGTCTCGAAGGTAGCTGGGAGTGCTGGTAGCGTAGGGCCTGAGGAGGGAGTCTACATAGCCAGACAATCCTGCTGTCAGGGTGCCAATGCCTGAGATGATGGGGCGCCCAGGATTTCCAGGTTTATGGATCTTGGGTAGTAGATAGAATCTCCCAGGTCGGGGTTCCAGGGGTGTGTCTGTGTGGATTTGATCTTGTGCTTTTTCAGGAAGTTTCTTGAGCAA